AGGCGCGGAGCCCCGGCGGCGGGGCAGCTGCTGGAAAGAGCTGCTGGGAGCTCGCTTCTCCCTCCTCCAGAGAGAGACTCGGCCCAGGGTCCCGTCTGGAGACTGCTCTGAGGAGCGGGGCGGCTGAGCCCGGAACGGTGTACGTGCCCGTTGCAAGCCGTGCTGTTGGTGTGTGACCGCTTTCCAGTCGGAGTGTGTGCAGAGTTGGTTCGGAAACATCAGGCCGAAACCGTGAACACCCTTAATTTAGTCCTGAAAGGCGTAGCCTGACGGGACAACGGGCCTCTTGACGTGCTGTATTGTTCAGCTGCTCGTGCAGGTACCGGAAGGATGGATAAAACCATATGAAGTGGAAAGGGAGAGCAAGAAGGGCTGTTGCTGAGTCCTTTCCAGCGCTAAGGCTGTGTTGTATTCTTCCTGCAGATACCTTCTTAGCAAAGGGCTCTGCTACTCTGGACAAACTGAAGGACCTTTGTAACGAAGGGAAAGAACATCCTTCCGCGCTTCTGCAGCTCTATACACAGGTAGTGTGTTTAAAACAGAGATACTCCCTTTCAAGAAAATCTACCGCGTAGGGTACGGGGGAGGGTTGGTTGTAGGAAAGGGTGTAGGAGAAAGGGATCTCTCTTAGTTGGTGTGTGCGGGGAACATCTCTGAAGTGCGGGGCTGCTTTTGCGTGGATTAGAAAGTAATCAAGAGTTGATAATTGTGCTGGTACTTGTAAGGACAGGAGGGATTTTGAAATGTTTTAGAAAACTTGCAGCTTTTGTAAAGTAAATATTAAAAGTTACCTTAAAATTGTAATGTTTTATAAACTAACAAGTTTGTATGTTACTGCATGCCACCATTGGATTATTTTGCTGGTAGCATTTTTACATTGTGTGTTTTCTTGTTTTCATAGGCTGTCTTAGACATCACATATTTTGAGGAAAACCAGCTTGTGGATGAAGATTTTCCAGAAGAATCTTCCTTGCAAAAAGTTAAAGAACTTACTTCTGTTCTTTCAGAACCAGAAGACCTGGTGAGGGAATGCAACATAAATGAAGAAGTGAGTGCTAACATTATTGAGCCAGAAAATTAATTATTTCATTATTTAAAAATAAAAAAGCTGAAACAGGATAGTAGTATTTTTGTCTTTGTTGGCAGAATTTAAGAAAAATTTTGGAAAAATTTTCAAGTCTTATTTTTATTTAAATAGTGATTCCTGAAAATATTTTTTTCAAATACCTTGTTGTGTGCTCAGAATTTTTCTTGCTAGCATTTCATGATTCTACGTGCTTTTGGCACTTTAAATCCAAAGTATTGGCCTCATGTCTGTGTCTGTTGGTTGTTAAGTACAGACTCCAGAGACTTAATATGTGAGAGTGTGAATATGAGTAGTTCAGATGGTTTACTTTTGGGATTTCATTTCAGCCCATCGACATCCTTGGTGCAGAGTTGTTAGAATGTCTTTACTGGAGAAAAGGAGCCCTGCTTTACATGTATTGTCATACAGTGAAAGAAAGGAGTGAATGGCTACAAGAAAACATTGCTGTATTTAAAAAGGTAAAGGAGTTTAAAAAGTTCTTTGAGCATGTGAATACAGTTTTTAAGTTTGCATCTTTGCTTTTAAAATATATCTTATTTTGATGTTTGTTTGGGTGTTTTTTTCTTTTTAAATAGGGTTTTGGGAAATTCACAAGGAGAAGTTATTTCTGGCTGTCATTAATCAGAATTTATCTAAAAGTGGGGGTTTTTTCTCTTGTTTTTTTTAATTGTACTCAGTGTCTGAATGATGGAGTTGAATACTTGATCAAGATGCTTAGCTTTAGATGCCCTCTTCAGTTAAATGAAGACGTCTCACTTCAAGATAAAGACACGGCTCGATTACTCAGTGAAGGTAAGAAAAAACAGAAAAAAAAAAAAATTAAAAACCCTTCCAAACCTCCCCAGTCTGCTTTTCTTAATAACTGCTCGACTTTATGAAATGCTTTATTGTGTATTTTTGTTGTTTGACTTCATTTGTATTCAAAAAACATCACTTTTCTAGAACAAAAAAAAAATTACAGGTGGGACAGATTAGCAGGCAGCAGTGCTCTCCCACCTCCCTTTTTTTTTTGTGACTTACGGATTTTAGGAGGTGGCAGTCCTCATTTTCTCTGTTTTTGGGTGCACTGGAGGAAAATGAACTATGGCTGTGGGTGTTTCATGCATAACGTGTGTTTTACAACCTTCCATTGTCAACTGACAACTGTTGGAAGCACAAATATGACTGCAGAGGGTGCTAGAGCTGCCCATGATGGTTTTCCTATTTAAACTTAGGAGAACACAGGTTACACACACAGCATTACTGACTTCACACAGGCAGAAAGTACATGCAGAATTGGTTCGTTTTGGCAAACTTAATCTGTCTCCTACTTCATATACCTTTGTGTACTTTGCATCACTGTAGTACATTTACTTGAGGATCTGAGGCTGCATCAGTGTGATGCAGGTAGGGTGATGCAGCAGGAGGGGATTTGTAATGTAAAACAGCTGGTCCTGAGGGTGTGATGTCCACATTGTTCATGCTCGAAACTAGCTCTGCTCTGGCTGTGGGGCCACAGAGCACCTTGTGTAATTTCATCTGGAAGCGGCATTGCTCCAGTTCAGCTCCACAACGCAAAGCCAGGTTCATTAAATGAATTGTAGATTTATTGAGCGTGACTTTTTTTTTTTTCAGTGACCGTGGACATGTCAAAGAGTGAAGCTGCTGCTGGTTGACACGAGTTAAGATGATGCTCAAACAGCAGTTTCTTTTAGGCTTATATTGTGGGAAGCACTGAAATACTCCAAAATAATAGGCATAATCATCCCTGAGCTTAATGGATTGTGAAGAAATACTGAAGTTATTTAAGATAAATAGGCAAACACAATTACCAGAATAATAATTATTTTGCAATCTTTTAAGTTTTTAGCATTTTGTAGGGGCAAAATGTAGGGAGGAATGAGCAAGGCCTTGATCCAGGTTCTGTTCTGGTCACCGTCAATCGTCTCATGGTTAACATTTGTTTTTCTGGTGTACCTCTTTGATAGGTTTAAACTGCTCTTTTTGGAATTATTTTCCAATATTACTGAAAAAAAATAATTTCAAGCTGTGTACTTGCTCAGAAGAATAAAGTGCTTGATCTAAATTATTTTTGCAGGTATATTTAGTGACACTCACTTCCTGGCAATGATGTATAGCGGGGAAATGTGCTACTGGGGACTGCGACACTGTGGAGAAGGGAAGCAGGAAAGCCTTGAGGGAATAGATTCCCTCTGTAACGCTGACATGGGCTGCAGATCAGAGGGCGTGTCTCTGGATTTCCGAGAAACGGGCAAAAACATGTTAACAAAGTATGTGGCTGTATGTGAGGGACCTTTAAAAGGCCAAGGGTGGAACACAGCAACTGCAAAACAAATACTGGGTTATTTTGTGAAATCCTGCAACTGAAATACGCTGCTTTGGCTGCGCTGGAAGAAACCTTGTGTGTGAAGAGCACTTTGGGGAGGTTGCCCTGTTTCAGTCTCTGACCGTTCTTATCAAAATGTATACTTTTATGGCATTAAAAACATTCAGAGAACTCTGGAATACAGGTTCAAAGTTTTTATAGGGGGGAAAAAAAAAAGCAACACCACACGGTTGTGTAATAAGCACACACTCTGCTGAGGGCATGTGTGCTCCGCCCCACCGGCGCCTTACGCTGAGGGG